AAGGAGACTGGGACGTGGGAACACATTCAGGACAGAACCAAGGTGAATCCAGGCGGGTGAGAGAAGGAGGTCAGCTCCTCGCAGCTGCTGCCTATTAGAGAGGCTGTGGAGAGACTGAGTTTCTGCCCCAGCACCTCGCTGATGAGGGTCTCCACCAGCACACGGTGGGCAAAGCAGGGTCCTGCTGTCCCTCCTGCACTCATGAGGTCCCTCCAGTGCTGGCAGGATGGCAGCTGCTCCTGCGCTTTTAGTCCCCAGGACAAAAGCTAGGAGACCCTTGCAGAAGCCAGGAGCTGCCCGAGTGCCCGGATCACCCAGCCTGGTGCCCAGACCCGCAGCGGTCAGCGTTCCAATGGAAGAGGCAATCATTCAGTCTTCAATGACATCATGTACAGAGGCAGAGACAGTATGTCACTTAGAAGACCACAACAGGCTAAAAATAACCCCATCCCACAAAGATGATTTAACCACACAGCAGAACAGGCAGAAAACATTCCCTGCAGTGCTAACCTTGCCTGCTCAAAGTTATTTAGTACGCTTTCTTCTGGCAACCAAAATCCAGTGTTACCAGCTTGCCTGAGGTCTGAAGTGACAGCGGAAGCAAAGTTGCAACCTACTGCTTCCTCTTTCAGGATGCATCACCACCACAGGGTGAAGGTTTCCAGGAAGTTTTGCAGGACCATTCTCTGGGGATTGGTTTTTGTTGTTTGTTTTTTAATACTAATTGAAGCAAGGGGGATAGCTCTTACTCCTTCTCTTATAAAAACATACATGCTTTTATTGGTTAGGACTTACCTAGGACATATATGTAAAAAATGACTCACCACTGCACAAGGGGTCCTGTCAAGGTAGCAAGTGTCCTAGATGTTGTCAAAACACTTCTCCCCTTTGCATGAGGAATGCAAGTCTCTCTCTTGCCCACAGCTTGGAAGATTTGGCATTCGGGTACAATCTGTGCCTCTTATTCTGTATTCACACTTGACTACCCAGCCAAACATACGACGTGACACCTGAGCAAATGACTACCTATAAGAGTTGTCACTGAAGAATTTGCCCTCTTTGAATATGGCTTTTGGGACTGGGTCTCAATGATGACAGAGAAACTTCTGTACTCTGAGCTGTCATCAAATTGTTGCTGGGAACAAGCCCAGAAAACATTTTCCACAATGACACAGGGTTCAACTGAAAAAGTTCAATTTAAGTGTAGATATCCATTTCATAACTGTGTGAAAAACACTTCACAAGAAAAAAAAAAAAAAAGTCCTACAAGCAGAATATCCAGATAATTAAAATAAAGAACAAAAATGAAGTAATTTTGACTTAAGTGTTTTAAGCTTTCCAGTCTCCCCAACTTTTCATGCATTTCATGTGCAGAACCCAACTGCTCTACATGGTGCCTGCAGGACAAGATGTGATCAGTCCAGTGAAAAAAAAACCTGTTGGGTAAAAAGGACACTTCAAGCTAGCCAGAAGATATCACTGAGAAGAAAAAAGAAAGTCAAGTCAAATACAACTATATTTTCTCCTTTTTTTTTTTTTTTTTTCAATTCCATACCTTAAAACCTTAAACAGATGTTGAAAAGCAAAATAATGGTTCCACCCTACCCTATTTAAACACATTGCCAGTCCCCTTGCCTTGGTGGGATTACAGAGATAATACTGAAGAACCCAGCTGAGCGTGGGCTTCATGGCAGGTACTTATGCTCACCACCTTCTTTCTCCATGGATTGCACTGCTGATCTTTTATTTTGCTTGTGTGTGCACTAAGCGCTTGACAGAATAAAGACAGACACCAACCACATCAGGTATGTTACATATAACCCCCCCTGAATCCACTCTGCGCATACATGTGCATTTACACGTAAATACACACAGCTTTCAGGTTGTTTAGGTTCCCCCTTTTCCCCTTCCCAATGGGTGGTACGTAAGCCTGAGACATTAAGAATTAAGGAAAAAAAAGTCATTCCAGAGTAGCACTATAAAGCCAGTTCAAAGGGGCAGATAACACATCATTGCTGGTGCCTTGGGTATCTTTTGGATACTTCTACTTCTCTGTTTTTTGCTGCAAAGTGAGGGTGAACAGGCCTGGCTCACATCTGGGTTTCTCCACTGCCACTGCACATAGCTGTGGCCAGAGCTGAGCTTCCAGAGAAGCTTCCAGTGGATTTAAAACCAATACTCAGTAGGTTCACATAAGAGAAAAACAAAAATTTCCTGAGTGCTGGAAGATATACGGGTGAAATGGGAAGACATGTGTTTAAAATTGATTAATTAGAGGACCACAATTCCTTTTTGTACCTTCAATTAAGCCATGCCACAGGCAACAAAGAAATCACGCAATCTGCTACAGCACTCCGTACCAAAGATTGCAGTGATCAGCAAATACAGGAACAAACTGTTACTAAACGAAATCTTCCCTTTCTCCAAGGAAAAAAAAAAAATAGTGGAGGGGAAAACCCTATAACATAAGAGTTGGCAGCATCTCGTTATATAAAAAAGCATACCTGTCCTCATCTATTTTTATAAAATCTGATTTTTCAGGAAAAAAAAGCACTCACTTTATGAGTACTCTGCAATTTTGCCTGGTGTATTCATTTGGCAGTAACTGGACACGATCCCGTTCCAATCATCACATTTCTTGCCTTTCACTGTAACACTGTTCCTTGCAACATACCTAATACATAAAGCAAAGCTGATTATTGGTTCAGAAATTTGAATACTGCAAATCTTTTGGTCCCATACATCTGGCTACAGTTTTTGCTTCAGGAAACAAAAAAAATCCAAACCCTGAATCAACCACTAAGGTTTTGCCAACGCTTACTGAAAACTGAAAAACCTGCAAGTCAGTCAGGGGGTGCAGAAGCAGCACTGCCCCTCCACCTTCTGCAGTTGCTGGCACATCTGGGAGCCCCACTGCTGGAGCAGAGGGCACACATCATCACCATACTAAGAAAATAAAAGGTCTGGTCTGCAACCTGGGAGCTAAGCCCAGCTTAATCTTTCCCTGAGGAATGAGATGCTGGAAGACCAGCTCCTGCTGGGGAGGGACCCACACAATCCTGGCCAACCCCTCCTCCCTCCCTATGTCCTTCTTCCCAGGACAGTTGCATAGACAAATCCCTCCGGTACAGACCTGAGTGTCTCGGCAGTCCCTGAACGCTCCCAAGCACAACCCTTTCAACTGCCCTGTCCAAGAATATCGCAGAAAAGGGAGGATCCCAAAATTGCTTCCCACTCTGGACTCCAAGAACTGCAGCCACCATATTGAAATCTGCTCTCCGGCAGAGAAGGATAGGAACATATTTGCAAAGCCTCCCGAGATCAGGCAATCAGTTCTGTGTTTCTTCCATGGAATTTCACACCTTGTCTCCTTCGAGGATACGCAGACTGTATTTTACTTAAGTTACCTCTCTGTCAGTAGTATCTACTGCATCTTCCATTCAACCACACCACAACAGGCAAAGCAATATGCCATTGAAAGAGAATTT